AAGAACTCTAAGTAAAGAAGGCATACAGGCAGACTTAATAAAAGTAGCAAGGGTGAATTAAGAATAAATGTGAGCATCACCATCTTGCTTGTAAACACAAGCCTTTCCCTTTTGATTTCCTAATTTTTCTTTATTACATTCATGTAGAGTCAAAGACGTACAAGTATTGTACAGGAATAAAGAACTACCAAAGACATCCAGATAAGAACAGTGACACAAATTGTTATTTACTGAAGCCAGGTCCTTTTTTTTTTAAGGACTGTGGGACTTTTTTTTTAAGTTGTACTTTTTAAAAAAATATTTTGTTTATTGTTTTTATTTTATGTGTATTCGTGCATTGCCTACATGTAGGTAAGTGTACCCATGTCGTGCAATGCCCACAGGACAGAAGAGATAAGAACAGTGACACAAATTGTTATTTACTGAAGCCAGGTCCTTTTTTTTTTAAGGACTGTGGGACTTTTTTTTTAAGTTGTACTTTTTAAAAAAATATTTTGTTTATTGTTTTTATTTTATGTGTATTCGTGCATTGCCTACATGTAGGTAAGTGTACCCATGTCGTGCAATGCCCACAGAGGACAGAAGAGGCTGTCAGATCCCCTGGAACTGGAGTTACGGACAGTTGTTAGCTGCCATGTGGGTGCTGGGATTTGAACCTGGGTCTTCTGCAAGAACGGCCAATGTTCTTAAGCGTCCAGCCATCTCTCCAGTCCCTGAGGCCAGTTCCTTTACATATCCAGTTCTACCTTTGTATGTGTGGGGGACTGTTTCCAGGACCCCCAAATCTTCAGACCCTCAAGTCCCTTATGTAAAATGGCACAGTACTGTGCGACCCCACATAGCTTTGGTGTGCTTTTCACCAGGCATCATTCATAATACCTAATTCAGTGTAAATGCCCTGTAAACAGAAATGCTGTATTTAGGGAACAATGATAGACATCTGTACATGGTCATAATTTTGGGGGGTAGGTGTTGGGGATTGAACACAGGGTTGTATACATACCAAGAACGTGCTGTACCACTGAGCTATACTCAGATGCAGCTTTTAAAAACAATTGCTGTTTAACTGTGTGGTTGGTTGAACCTTCACACATGGAAGCCATGGATGTGGGTGGGGGGCACACTGTTCTTATTCCCCCCCACTCTGACCCCCCCAAGTATTCACCAGAATACAGCAAAGTAAGTGTTATTAGTTTCATTTTCAGACAAAGAAACAAGCTGGCTAATGACTTGCCCAAGGCTACACAGGGAGGCAGCCTCTGGGCTCCTACATAGCTCAAGTCCTAAACCCAGCTCTGGCCACTTTCTCAGTACTTGACTTTGCCATAATAGTCCCATCTCTTTGGTATGAGTGCATCACATGTGCTGCTGTGGACTTCTCTGGTCATTATTATCATATGCTACTTTTTTTTCAGTTTTGGGATGGAACCCAGAGCTTTGAACATGGTAGGCAAGTGTTCTGTCACTAAATTACAGCCCCTGCCCTGTTATATTTAGATTTTTTAAAAGGAATAGATTTTTAAGAAATTAAGTGTATTCCAACAACCACCAGCACAGACTGTCTTTGCCTATGGTACCTTGTCTGGAAGCAACATTAGAGCAGAAGACAGATACGGGGAACTTGTTCAGAAATGCTGGCCTTAAGGCCAGTCTGATGCAAATGATCTGGACCAGAGTAAAATGGGTTCAACCACCTGAGCAGGAGACAAGTGGCTGTGACTAGATGGAGGAGTTAGGGGTGGTGCATGGAGCAGGAGAGGACAGCCAATGCCCAGAGCTCTAGGGATCCACCAGTAAGTAATTATGCAGATAATGACGCCAGCTTGTCAGGCTCAGTAGCACCTGACTCATCTCACCTTGTCCCATGTGTAGGGATAGAAAGCCAGTGCAGGCTGCAGGGGCTCCTACCTGGGGCTTCTAGATAACAGTGGTGAGAAAGGATGACCCACCACAGAAAAAGCTACCAGCTACTTCTAGATCAGCCCACAATGCCCAGGTCACTTCTGCCCAAGATAAGGAGAGAAATTTGGTGGTGGTGGTGGTGGGTTGGGGGAGGTTAGATACAGGTCCTTTCCCAGCCCATTTGCAACTTATGTACTAGGACTTGAATCTTGGACGAAGCTACTGCTCAACTGATGGTGAACACTGGTAGACCAAAGCCTAGAGGCTCCCTGTATAGAAAGTCTGGAAAAAAATCTGACAAGACAAAATTTAGTTTGCTCTAGTCTGTACCGTCCATGGGACAATACAATCGGTGCAGAAAACTTATCCTTGAATGTGTCCATACACACAGTTGCTCCCGGCACCTCAATCTTTGCTACTGTTCTTACTTTAGAAGATTTCTTTTGAATAGGGTTGTGAGAAAAGGCAAGATCTTCATTAAGAAAAGGGGAACCCATGGACCCACTCTCAGTTATTTTGGGTTTATCTGTGTGAAGTCGGGGGTGACGGGGAAACTTATGTCCACCCTGGGGCCCTTGTGGAAATCATTCCTGAGTGTATATGCAAGAAAGAGCTGCATGAGGCCAGTGACAAGCATGGTTTATCAGAGCGCTAGAGATTCTTCTAGCCTGGCCAGGAGATCCCTTTGGACTCAATTTGCTTTCATCCTCTGTAGGTACAAAACATCACTCAGGGCCAAATATTTTTCCAGTTTGTCATCTTGGCAAGCTGAATCTCAGAATGTATTGCGTTTCTATCCCCAAATAATTTTTCCAGGTTTGCATCAAAGAAGAAAAAGATACCACATTTCCTTCAGTCTAGCCTGCTAAACAAAATCTTAACAATAAACAAGGAGGATACCAATTGCCAGAGTTAAGGAGTGCCCTCCCCCAGAGAAATACAGAGGCTGCTACTGGGCAACCAGAAACCAAGGAAGACTAATCAAGGCTTGCACTCTATTGGAAAGGTGGTCTTTACTGGATTCTTTTACAGAGGAAGGAAATTTAACTAGGTGAAGACAGTAAATTGCTATGTGCCTAGGGTGTTTCTCAACTGCAGGCTGCAAACAAGCTTCTGGTCTATCTCCTTGTGTGGCTTACTTAAGGTGGGGAACAAGAGGGATTACTTGGCACCTAATTGCTTTTTCTTAAATATACAATATCTAGGTGTTTTCTTATAGGAACCAGTAACCAGCAGTCTTGGCTTGTATTGTAAAAAATTCAAGAGAATGAATCAAAATGAGGTCATGGGAAAATTCTGTTGTCAGCATGACTTCTACAAGTTGAGTAAGGAGGAAAGCCCATAGACTTGTCTGCCTGCTCCCCAAGTCCTCCCAGCACCAGAGGGCCTAAAATAATTAGTCTCTCTGAGTCCCATCTGAACTGGAACGGCCTCTGCTTGTTCTTCTGAAGGTGTCCTCATGCTGACTTCTGTGTTTCAGCTCATAGCTGAATAACTAACTGCCCACTCACAGTTTTCAAAAAACATGTGCATTAGAAATGCTAATGATATTCTAGCAAAGAGCCCACTGTGAGATAAACCATGATAAGCTTTTCATAAGTAACAGCAAGAACAGGCTGAGTCTCACTCAAAGTGCTTTTGGATGGACTTTTTGATTTTAGAATATTTATTTATACATAACGAGGTATCTTGGGAAGAGTACCCAACCCTAAACACTGGTTTACATCTCATATATATGCCTTACAGAGCCTGAAGGTAATTTTATATAGTATTTTAAATATTTTGTCTACAAAAAAGAATTGCATAGTGTGGAATTTTCCACTGCCATGTTAAAAAAAATGGGGTGGGATTTTAGAGCATTTTAGACTTCAGATTTTCAGATTAGGAATGCTCAACTTGTATTAGGAAGAGGACATTAGGTAGAGGAGATGCAGTTAAGTGATGTGGTATTAAATAATGTAATTTCTATTGTACTCTAATTATAATAGAATTAAATGGTGTGCTTCCTGTGTTGCTACCCAGGGGTAGTACCAGGGAGGATCAGACTTCACTTTATAAATGAAAACCTTCAAGACTTTTCAGCAAAGTATGAAGGAAAAATAAACTCCAGGAGGGCTGGGGTTGTGTTAGCTTACTGACTGGCCTAATGTCTGGTGAATATTAGGCTCTCAATTTTTTAACTAACTGATATAATTTTGAATTAGTGATCAGCTCTCGGGCCAGTTAAAAAAAAAGTTCTATCTAGCCTTTGAATATTTTTTTTTTTTGTGTGTGTGTGTGCCTAGATGACTCTGAACTTCTCTGATCTTCTTGCTTCTACCTCCCAAGTGTTGGGATTACATTTCTTTCTTTAAAGAGTTAAAATTTTCCTTGCCGAGCTCTTTAATGTCTTTGGCTATCTAGCCTTTGAATATTTTTTTTTTTGTGTGTGTGTGTGGCCTAGATGACTCTGAACTTCTCTGATCTTCTTGCTTCTACCTCCCAAGTGTTGGGATTACAGACATGCACCATCACACCCAGTTTATAGGGTGCTGGGTATTGAATCCAGCACTTTGTGCATGCAAGGCAAGCAAGTGAACTGCTTCCCCAGCCCTTAATATTTTCTTTTTGAGACATGGTCTTGCTACCTAGGGCACACTGGCCTTAAACTCTCCATCCTCCTGCCTTAGCTTCCTTGGTAACTGGGATTATAGGTGAGTACCACTATACCTAGCTTCGTCTTCTTGTCTGAAATAGTTTGTTCCTGAGTCTTTTAGCTGACAGTGATCATTTTAGCTGCAGATTGGGCAATGATTTGCTTCTGTCTGCCATTCCTTACCATGTTTCTTGTACTAAGTGGCTTATTTTTCCTGTACCCCTGCCAACTGTCTGGACAAGACCTAGGGTCAAGCTCTCACCTGACCCCCTGGAGTCAGGGTGAATTTGGCTGTCAGGCTGTGAGTCATGCAGTCTGCATGCCCAGCATGCCACCACACCCTGGTCCAGAAGCTAGGGCGGGGCAGAGCTGATGCCAGTTCATTGCACAGGAGCCTCTATAGTCACGGCCTAATCTCTGAGTACTGAGAAAAGAATGTCCTATGTTATCCCCGGTCACCCACCTTATCACCGTGGGGGTGATCTCTGCACAGAAGAACACACTGAGGCTTCCCACTGCATGGGATGCAAACATGCCCACGATGGAAAACGCGATGGAGAACTTGTCTTTGACGCTGTCACTCATCCCTGCAGGAGAAATGAGAGAGGTGACTGTGAGATATGAGAGATGGGAAGAGAACAGAAGCTAGGCAAGGGACCAGCTGGTGAGAGGATGGGGCAAGGGAAGCCTGGGACTCCCCAGAGGCTTCCATCCTCCTCAACGCCCAGTTTGTGGTGTAGTTGGGTGTGCAGTGGCCTCTGGGTAGGTAGTCCCTCCAGGCTTAGGAGCCTCAAGCCCTCTTGGCCGAAGACTGTTGGCTCCTGTGTGCCTTGGGCATCAAGCATACTGAGCTCACAGTGGCCTGTAGAATTTCTCAGGCCAGGAGGTGTGCCTGGCAGAGGGCAGGCTGCTGTCCCCCTGCTGCCACAGTGACATTCTACCTGCCCTGGACTCCATACTGCAGTCTCAGGCTTGACCCTCCCAATTCAGAGGCAGTCAGTGTTGGTTTAAGGGAATTAAACTGTAAATGACCCAAATGGTATTATTCATGGGCCTTGAGGGAGGGAAAATACTCAGTGATTCCAGGGCCTGTGGGTGGCACTGGATCTTGGCTGGCACAAAGCAGCATTGCACACAGTGCTTTTGCATGCAGCTGGGGGCTGTGCTGCTCTGCTCAGCTCAGTCCCTCAGGGCTGCACAAAAGGCGGGTGCTACCAGGGGCACTGGTGGAATGAGCTTGGTTGGGTTGGGCAGGTGCAACAGCAGCATGGGTTGTGGGACAGCACTTCTCCTGTCCCCTAATTGGAGAACAGCAAGCTTGTAGGAGTCATGAGGGGGACAATGACTTTCCCGTGCACACAGACAGCCAAGCCCCAACACTCTTGCTTTCTCATCAAGACCAGCTCCTGTCCGAAAGACAGCACTGGTGCTAGGCCAGGAGACTGGGAAGACATGCATGCCAAGCTGCACAAAACCAAGAAAACACAAGTTGCTCTTTCTAGTGCAAGATGGGGTAGGGAATACAAATGTATGCTTATAGTGTCCAACCTACGGCCAACTTCAGCTGCAATTCTTGGAGGGCGAAGGGTTGGAGAAAGGAAACAAAAACCAGTTGGTGAGTCTGTGGAAACTCTTATGTGGATGCAGTAAAAGACGAGGAAGCACAAGCACAAGTGTTTGGGACTCACCTGAGTCTGGATGCTGGCTGTATTTCCCAATCACTGGAGCCATGGAAATGGTTGTGCCCACGTGTACAAGATGATGAGAGTGGGAAGAGAGAGAAGGCACATTAGGCATGGGATGCTTGCCGGGTGCTCCCATGTGACCTGTTTCCAACTGTACTCCCTTCTATGACTGAGTTGGCACTGGCTGCCTGGGCAATGGAATTCACACTGGACTAAACAATGACCTTTTTGTTAGGAGGAGAGGGCCACAGCTGGCCGTGTTGGCCTCAGTGTCTGGGAGACAATGCAGCCCTGCAGAAGAGACCCAAGCAGATCCAAAAGAAGTGTCATTACATAGAAGTTATCCAAGTGAGATTGCTGGTCTGTGCCAAGGGGCATTGGGCATTGTGAGCAGGCCTGTCAGGCCACACGTATTGCTGCCTGAAACCTTGTCCTCACAGCTATGTGTCCTTTCCATGACATTTCTGTTCAGGGCCAACGAGAGCACATGTGACACTCTGGGGGCAGAAGTATCCTGTCACATCTGTCCGAACTGTGTGAGCCAGGGAGAAGCTTCTTGGAAGCATAGCTAGGGTAATTCCACCCAGGAGTACAGGAGAACAGTGTCACTTGTTCATTTCCATTATTTTCCAGCAAGGTACGAACACTAAAGAACCTGACTAAGTTAGAAAAACCACCTGAGTTTGAAACCAGCTCTTCCATAGCCTGGTCTGCACTAAGGCTGTACTGATCTGTGGTGCAAGGGAAGCCTCTCTCTGCAGTTGGAGTTAACTTTCCTCAAAGGAAGGGTGCTCCATGGCAGCCATTTCCCAGCAGAGCCCTGAGCCTGTCTAGAGGGTGGTGACTGGGCATGAGGAGGCAACTAGCTGTCCTGCTTATTCATGCCGGGCAGGCAGGGAGGAGGCTGAGCCGATGTTCTTGCACAGGGTGGGTATTTATGAGGAGCAGTACAGAGCTTGCTGGACCGACCCTCTGTATTTGTGTTCAGATTATTTGAAGGGTTTAAATATTTTGATAAATGACAATTTTGGGAACATCATAGAAAAACTGTGCCTGTGCAAGAATGTCAAAATAAATTTGTTTCCCTCCCAATGTTACACAAACAAACAAGTCCTTTGTCCTTCTTCCTATGATGAATCACATGGAAACAGTCTACCCATTAGTAAAGTCATGATCACTAGGACACAGAGGCTGTGGCATGCTGAGGAGTTACAGTGCAGCCAGAAGGATCTGGTTTGGGGGCACAGGTATGGGGGCAGAAGGAGGAGGGAAGACCTAGCAGGTTCAGTGGTAGAGACCACAGGTGCGAAGCTCCATCCTTCCTTCCTGAAGCAGGTTTTCCTGACTGTTGATTTTATAATGACTATGTGGGTCACAGAAAACTTTTCTTAGGTCTTATCCAGCCATCCCTATGTTGGATCTTCAGTGTCCCCCAAAGGGTACATGTTGAAGATTTGGTACCCCATCATGACAGTACTGAGAGGTAGCAGACCTTTAGGAGATAGAGCCTCATAGAGGAAAGTACATTGTGGGTATATTCTCAAAGGGGACATTAGGACCACAGGCCCTTGTCTTCCTCTTTTGCTTTCCAGCTGCCATCAGGTGAGCAGTTTCCTCTGCCATGCATTCCCACTGTACTCTGATGTCTTGCTACAGAGGTCCACAGGTAATGGGTCAAAAAACCCTGGGCTGAAACTTCCAAAACTGTGAGCAAAACAAGCCTTTCCTCTCTTTAAGTTATCACAGGTATTTTGTTACGATTAATAGCAAGCTCATACACCTTCCAAGTATGCTGGTAGTCTGCTAGCTTCCCTTCCCCCAGCATCCTTCCCTTGTCCCCCTCCTCCAGTCTACTCACGGTTGAGGAGCCCAAGCTGCAGAAGAGAGGCCAGGGCAGTGAGGATCATGAAGAGCAGCAGCCCTCCCCTGCGCCCGAGGAACCTGACTACTACACACATGGCCAGGCAGGAGGCCAGCGCAATGCTGGCCATGGTGTAATAGTCAGCGTAGAAGTTCTCCAGGAGCGGCACCTTCACCTCGTGGCCCATCATGCTTCTTGCAAAGCAGTGGTGGATCCCAAACCCTGTCAGCCTGCAGGAGACACACACTGAGAGTGGAGGTTACATGCACAGATGTAACTGCCCTATCTCCTGGGGATAACCCAGAGACAGAAAAGCATTTGACATGTGAGAGGAGCTCGTGCTATCACATATGGACCTGCAGTGGAGTTAAATGTAGAAGAGACATTGGAGAAACATCCACAGGCCTTTTGCTCAGATACATATTTTCTCAGAAACCCAAGCTGTAAGACAAAGTGCTTTCTGTGCACTAACTCAATAATCTCGTGCCAGCACAAGAACTATGTTCATGTCCACTGGGCAGACCAGCAAACAGGTGTGAAGCAGGTCTTGGTTGTTGAATGACCACCTCTGAGCCATACTGCATATATGGGTTTCTGTCTCCTCTCTGGGCACTCTGGGCTCTGAAAACTTGGGGTCCATCTAGAGAACTTCTTGATCACTCATACTTGCTATTATGCAACCAAGGCAGCAGGAAAAGCCAATTAGAGGTTAGGCCAAAGAAGACTGTGGTCTTTGGGGACCCTTGTTTCAATTCTGGTTATCCCTGCTTCCCTTTCACTGCCCTGGGTCCAGCTCTTTGCTGCCCCACATGAGCATTTAAACCTGATGGGAAATGAGCATGTCACACACCCTGGAAAACAGGAATGAAAATGTGGTGGAGCTTGCCCAGGAGGCAGCTGATGACCATGCAAGTATCTCTAGGGCTCTGAAGGGCACTTTAGGCTATAGCTCCATGTGAACGCCCAGATGGGCAGCTCTGGGCATACTTCCTGGGGCTTTCATAGCCAGGCTGAGAGCGGCAGCTATGGGGCAGGCTGGGATTCAGAGTTCAGCTAGGGGTGGGGAGGAGAGCCCTTCTTGACTTTGCTGCACACATTTCCTGTGACTCACGAGTTCACACACAGGACCACGATGTTCTTCCACAGGTTTCGGGTCCCCACCACCTTCACGATGCACACCTTCTTGGGCCTCCGGGAAAGTTCCTTTTCCAGCTCTGCAAGAGACAAACCCATGAGCCTGGGCAGGACAGAAGGTTCCAGATACAGCTACACCATAGCCCTGGCTCTACTGACGGCACACTGACAGTACTTTTCCACCCTGCTTATGGAACATACAGACAGACTCATTTCATATGCCTGAGCAGAGCACTCCATGATGGGAGTCGAGATTACTAAGGCCTAAATTAGGATGTGTACAAACACAACAAAAGGTTCCTCTCTGCTGGAACCTGCGTCCACCTGTCATTCATGGCTCAGGGACCTGAGGCTCATGTGCACCTTAACTTTGTGACAGAAAGGGTGACAGAAAGTTCCCTAACTGCAGGTGTGCCCAGCTGTCCTGAGAGGACGTACACCTTTGAAATAAAAACATAGGGCTGTTCTTACACACACACACACACACACACACACACACACACACACATACACACACACACACACACCACACACCCACCCACACGACACATTATGGATGTTTTAGATAACAGTTAAAATTCTTTGGGGGCTGGGGTATTGCTTAGCGATACAACCTGTGTTTAGCATACATGAGGCTCTAGCTCCTATTGCCAGCACCCAAAAATTAAAAAAAAAAAAGCCAAAGTGCTTGGAGGCTGAACAAATGATGGTGTGTTGCCTCAAAGAGACGTGACTGATTATAAAGCTGTGAGACAGACACCCCTGTAAAGCTGATCCTATCTCCAAAAGTGCTCCAGTGTAACCTGAACCCGGCTGGGAATTTATTGAAGTCTTCGGACCGATCTGGCAATCTAACAGGGAAGAGGAGAACATGGAAAGGCCTTGGGCTGCAGGAGGGCCACTGCCTGTGTGCAGCACCGTGTGCAGAACTATGTGCAGCACCGTGTGCAGAACCATGTGCAGCAGCACTCACCTCAGCCCAATAGGCCCTTCTGCTCTCGACCTAGCATGTCCTTGGGGGGTAATCCCCTACTTAGAAGCTAAACCAGAAAAGGACACTTCCCAGACTGTCGAGAAGCCAGTGCCCTTCAAGATCACCATGGTCGTGAAAACAAAGAGACCAAGAAACTCAAGACCAGAGAAGACAGTGCAAGGTATGGGTGAGCTGCAACCCTGGACAGGATCCCAAAGCAGCGTGGCGGGCGGGGGGATGACAGGTAGATTCATGACACTGAGTGGAGGCTGGCATTCAGTTAACAGTAGTGCACACTTATTTTACAATAGTTTTGACAATGTGTAATATCAGATGATAGTGATGAGGGAAACTGAGTCAGGGGTGTATTCAAGTTCTGTACTACCCCAGCAACTTTCCTGTATCTATGTAATTATCCCAAAATAGGACATATTTAAAATTTAAAAAATGCCCATGGGGAAGGAGGAAGCTTTTAGGGCCTGGGCTCTGTAGCCTTGCATTCAACCAATCATTAACCAAAAATATTTGCAAAAAATTTGTATCTGAACTGAACATGAACTTTTCCCCCTTCTCTTTAGTCTCAAAACAATTCAGTATAACAACTATTTTCATAGCACTTGCATTGTCCTGGGTATCACCAGAAGCTCAGAGATCATCTGATATGCACAGGAGGCTGTGTGTGGGCTCTATGCAAAGCTACACCATGGCATATAAGAACTTGAGCCCCTGAGGTGTTTGGTCTCCACAGGAGTCTTGAACTATTCCCCTGAAGATGAGGAGGGATGACAGCTGTTGCCTCCTGCTCCCCTGGAGACTACATCTCTGCAATGCTCTCCAGGCCCCGCATATGGGCACATCTCAGCCACGCTCATTCCTAGATATTTCAACTTTTGGCTTACTTCATTCTCCACAAGCCTCATTCACTAATATTTGAAGGAAAAATAAACTGCTCACATTTAAGGGTTTAGTAGCTGGGCTTGGTGGCACATGTCTTTAATCCCAGGACTTGGAAGACAGAGTCAGGCAGAACTCTGTGAATTCCAGGCTAGCCAGGGTTATATATTTTTTAAAAAGGTGGTGGTATGGACTCAATAAACTGTTGCTATTCTGATCTGAAAAAAAAAAAAATAGTTGTGGTAGGACAGGGGAGAGGAATAGGAATTTATTTAAGCATTTTTTTTTTTAAATGATGGGGTACTACTATGTGTCCCAGGCTGGTCTCAAACTCCTGGGCTCAAATGATCCACCTGGCTCAGCTTCCTGAATACTTGGGATTATATGCTACCATACCTAGCTTTAAATAAAGATTTTAGGCCCATTGTGACCCTAGCCAGAACATAGAAGAGACAGGACAAACCTTTCCTCTGACCGAGGAAGAGCATGCCTGAGTTTCTAGAACATTCTTCCTATACTTAGGTATGAGGTGAGGTCTTTGCACAAGCCAGCATTTTGGCTGTTGGATCACAGACCTTCTCAGCTCTTGAAGTCTCTTGCATCTTTTTTTGCTTCAGAAACAAGGCTAATTTGACTTATAGATACCCCTTTTCTGTGGTTAAAAGCCCAATACACTCATGAATTAGTTAATGAGTGGGTCAAAGGATGCAGCCAGAGAATTATGTGATTAGGAGATTCTGTCATTGTGTGAATATCACGGAGGGCTCACACAAACCTAGATGGTAAGAGATGGTCTGCAGAAACGGATGTGGAAAACAGAAGATGGATAAGGCTACTGCTGGCCTCACATAACACATTAGTTTGTAGGAAACATTTTTAAATAAGGAAGCCATTCTAAGCCAACAATAGAATGTATAGTTTAGCGAATACATAATCCTCTAAGAGTCTTCTCATTAAGATCTGTGCACTGACCATCACAGTGTGTGCAGTGCTTTTAGACAGCTGGCACTGCAGTAGACCTGTGCTCCCCAGCACTACCAGAAACACGGAATAACACACCTCGCTGTGCAATAGCCATTCTATTTAGAAAAGTTTCTGCACTACCAAAGTCTTAGGGACCATAATTTTGTATGTGGTCCACTGAAGAAGAAGTGTTGCTACGTGATATAAGTCTGTGCTTTTAAAGATCTTAGAAACATGATTGGCAGATACTCTCAGGTCCAATGATTGGAGCACCTGCATTATTATACAACTCATCACAAACCAGCTATAGTAGCCATTCTTTCCCAGCAGGTAATCTTCCAAGGA